ACTGTGTGGACATGTTTGTGTGTTTGTGCATACATGCCCATGTGTGTGTCTGTTTCTGTTTGCAACGTGTATGTGTGTGTGTGTGTGTGTGTGAAGATGTATATTAAAAGAGCCCAGGGCCAGGCACAGTGGCTCTCGCCTGTAATCTCAGCACTTAGGGAGGCCTAACTGGGCTGATCACTTGAGGTCAGGAGTTTGAGACCAGTCTGGCCAACACGGTGAAACTCTGTCTCTACTAAAAATACAAAAATTAGCCAGGAGTGGTGGTGGGTGCCTGTAATCCCAGCTATTGGGAGGCTGAGACAGAAGAATCACTTGAAGCACGGGAGATGGAAGTTGTTTTGAGGCAAGATCACATCACTGCACTCTAGCCTGGGTGACAGACTGAGACTCTGTTTCAAAAAAAAATAATAATAAAATAAAGAGCCTAGACCAGGTGTGGTGGCTCATGCCTGTAATCCAGCACTTTGGGAAGCTGAGATAGGCTGATCACTTGAGCTTACAAGTTCAAGACTAGCCTGGCCAATATGGTAAAACCCTGTCTCTACAAACAAATACAAAAAATAGCCGGATGTGGTGGCATGCACCTGTAGTCCCAGCTACTTGGGAGGCTGAGGTAGAAGGATGGCTTGAGCCCAGGATGCAGAGGTAGCAGTGAGCTGAGATTATGCCAGTGCACTCCAGCCTAGGTTATAGAGCCAGACCTTGTCTCAAGAAGAAAAAAAGCCTAGAGTACTTTGCAGGTAGCAAGAGACTGACAGGTGGCTCACAGTTTTATTCCTACAGCCATCTCATAGGCTAGGGTAGAGGAGGGAACTTGGGACAGGTCTAGTGGACCCTTCCTTGATGGAGGGTAATAATTCCAGCAGACTCCCAAAGACACATTTGCCTCTTTGACTTTTCTTTATTATCAAACATAAATATTTTTATCCAGAGATTCCCCTTTGTCCCCACAGTGATAATTCTCATCATATCCCCACTCCTTGGGTCCAAGTCTTTCTAAGTCTTTTTTTTTTTTTTTTGAGATGGAGTTTCCATCTTATTGCCCATGCTGGAGTGCAATGGTACGATCTTGGCTCACTGAAACCTCCACCTCCTAGGTTCAAGGATTCTCCTGCCTCAGCCTCTTGAGTAGCTGGGATCACAGGCAATACCCTTTTCTAAGTCTTTAAGGAAAGTGGAATCAAGATGGTGGCCACCTTCAGTTCCTAGGGAGTATATGGCCATCTTGGCTGCACTTCCACTGGCTGAGCAAAGTTCCCCTCAGGGAGAGCCAGGGTGGGGCCTGATATGCTCTTCATCTTCATCTATCCTATGCTACCTTTCTTCTCAATGCAGATGGTCATCTTGAAATATCTTCTTTCAGTGGCTAGAAACAACTCCCATCCCTGCCCCAAACTCCCAACACCTGCTACCTTGTCCCTATCTCTAGTCAAAGGATCTACCTGCCATCTGGAATCTCTTTTACACTGGGGAATAGGTGGGCATATTGGGCAGCCATGTTGCTACCACTTGGGGCATCCCCTTTGGCTGAGCTGACTATCCGCAATCCTCCTGGCAATTGTCATGATCCTTCCCTCCCCTCAGTGTTCAGTTTTAGAGGAGTAAGATTGCCAACTTGTCCTGGCGCCTCAGAAATCAGGACACTCCATTATGGCAAGATGGAGATCCCAGGACTCTTCCATTGCAGAGATGTCACACATGAGTTTGGAGGCGCGGGTGGCTAGATGTGGGGAAGGCAGCATACGGGAAGTGGGGAGTCCCAGGGGCCAGATCTGGGGGTCCAAAGGATGTGGGTTTGATGTAGCTGGTGAAAGCCTGAGGGTGGGGTGTGGTGAGGTAGCCTGCCCGGGCTCTATACAGTCTGCAGGGGGGGACTATGCTCAGGTGTGGATTGAAGTCATAGAAGGTAGGGGTCCCTGGGGGCCCGAGGGGGGAGGTGGGTGGCAGGAAGAGGCCTCCTCCAGGGGCTTCGCCAAGACTCAGGCTCACACTGACTCCTCGGACCTTGTAGTAACCATTAGTTGGGTCCTGAGGGGACAAATGGGACTCAGTTAGGTCTGTGAGGGTGCGGGGTGGTGGTGGGGGGAAGGGTCACTGGTGGAGATACACACTGAAATATACCAGAACTTTAGAGAGACAAAAAGAGACAGGAGTGGGCAGAGACACAGAGACACACAAGGACTGGGAGAGAGAGAAAGTGAGATGGAGGAACAGTGACAAGAGACAAAGGGACAGGACATAGGCAGAGAAAGACAGAGACAGAGGAATATAAGCCTGCTGAGGGGGTGTCAGTGTGGAAGGTGCAGAGGGAACAGGACATAGGCACTTGCCTGCCCAACAGCCCCTAGGCTTTGATTCAGTGTCACATCCTGTGTTGCTGCTACAAGACATGTCACTAGGATAGAAGTGGACCTTGTCCTCACAGAGATCCCACACAAAGGGAAAAATGACAAATCATGAGACAGCACCCAGAGGGGTCAGGGCTGTGCCTGGGAAAGGCATAGGCAGTGACGGCTATGATCAGGGAGCCCTTAGCATAGTGGGTGGGATAGGGAAGCCCAGGTCAAAGTGATCATGGCTGTGATGGGCAGAATACAGGCAGAATGATCGGGCTGTCATGACAGAAGCATGGGCTTCCTAGGGCAAGAAATGTTTGAGCTGAGACTGGAGGAATAAAGGAAGGAATTAGGTAGACATGGAAAGGAAGGTAGGAGTGTTTTGGGCTAAGAGAATGGCATGTTGGTTGGGCGTGGTGGCTCATGCCTGTGATCACAGCACTTTGGGAGGCTGAGGCAGGCGGATCATCTGAGCTCAGAAGTTCGAGACCAGCCTGGCCAACATGGTAAAACCCCATCTCTACCAAAAATACAAAAAAAAAAAAAAAAAAAAAAAATTAGCCAGTTACTCAGAGGCCGGGGCAGGAAAATGGTTTGAACCTAGGAGGTGGAGGTTGCAGTGAGCTGAGATTACTGCACTCCAGCCTGGGCAACAGAGCAAGACTCCATCTCAAAAAAAAAGAGAAAAAGAATAGCATGTGCTAGGTATATGGCATGTACAGAGGAGAGAAAGGAGTGCTCTGGCCTGGAGATGGGCTAGGGTCAATGTGGCTGTCCTGAGATAGGACCCCAGAGGAAGGACAGGATTAGGAAGATGTGGGGCCAGTGTAGGACCTGGTGGCTGAAAGAGGGTTTGACAGTGATGAGGAGAGCACGGGCAGAGTGAGCCCCAGTCTGGGGTCTGGACGGAGGCTGGGACAGATGTGTGAGCAGAGTCCACAGATAGACAAACTGAAGCTGGGAGCTGGGTAAGATGGCCCAGGGGGTAGGAGGAGGGGGATGAGGAGCTGGTCCCACTTCTGGGGGCAACAGAGGGAAAAAGGAGGGGACAGGCGTGGGAGAGAGATGGAGATACAGAGGAGGGAGCCCTGCCCCTCCCAACACTCACCTTGGTCTGCAGAGCCCCTTCCTCCTCCAGAACCAAATCACTGTGGTCAGTGTGCACAATGGGGCCCTGGGGTAGGGAACTTAGTGAGAGAAAATAATCAGAGGATCCCCCCCACCCCAATACCAGACTCCAAGGACCTTCAGCCAGCCAGTGGGGGCCAGGTAGGAGTAAGAGCACCAGAGCTGGGGACTGCTCTCAGAACAATAAAAGGATTGTGGGAGGCTAGTGCAGTGGCTCATGCCTGTAATCCCAGCACTTTGGGAGGCTGAGGTGGAAGGATCAGTTGAGGCCAGAAGTTCGAAACCAGCTTGGCCAACATGGCAAAACCCCATCTCTACCAAAAATGCAACATTAGCCAGGCATTGTTACAGGTGGTGGGTGCCTGTAATTCCAGCTACTCAGGAAGCTGAGGAACAAGACTCACTTGAACTGGGAGGTGGAGGTTGCAGTGAGTCAGGATCGTACAACTGCATTCCAGCTTGGACGACAGAGCAAGACTCTGTCTCAAAAAAAAAAAAAGGGCTGTGCGGATATACTAGGCCTAGGGAATAACTGGGTCAGGGGAATGGCCTTGGGTGACATTTGGGTTTGGGGTCATTGTTAAGACTAGAGCCCTCAGGCTGGGCATGGTGGCTCATGCCTGCAATACCAGCTCTTTGAGAGGTGGAGGTGGGTGGATCACCTGAGGTCAGAAGTTCGAGACCAGCCTGGCTAACACTGGGAAACTCCATCTCTACTAAAAATACAAAAACAGCTGGGTGTGGTGGCAGGTGCCTGTAATCCCAGCTACTTGGAAGGCTGAGGCAGGAGAATCGCTTGAACCAGGGAGGTGGAGGTTGCAGTGACCCGGAATTGTGCCACTGCACTCCAGCCTGGGTGATAGAGTGAAACTCTGTCAAAAAAACCCAAAAAACAGAAAACAAAACAAAAAAATCATAGAGACAGGGTCTTGCCCTGTCGCCCAGGCTGGAGTGTATGGTGCAATCATAGCTCCTTGCAGCCTCTCCAGGCCCACTTCGGTGTCCTGAGTAGCTAGGACTATAGGCATGTGCCACCATACCCGGTTCATTTTTTATTTTATTTTGTATTTTTGTAGAGATGGAGTCCCACTATGCTGCCCAGGCTGGCTTCTAATTCCTGGCCTTAAGTGATCCTGGTGTCTCCACCTCCCAAAGTGGTATTACAGGCATCAGCTACCACGTCCAGCATTAAAGCCCTATTTGAGTTTGGGGTCCCTCTTGAGACTGGGCTATTACTTGGGTCTGGAGGCAGAGTAGTGTCTGGGGACCCTGGCATCCTACCCGGTCCTCGCCGCTGCCCGTCTCCTCTTCCTCGGGTCCTCGCGAACTGGAGCCGTCGCTGCTGCCTGGGATTCGCATTAGGTTCTTTTGCTCGGGGAAAGAGGCTGAGGCTGACGAACAGCAAGGGGCGGAGTTAGCGATGGGCGGGGTGACAGTGTGTGCAGACCAATAAGCGGGAAAAGAGAGGACTGGGAACCAACGAGGCGGATCGGGTGGGGTTGTTGGGAACCAATGAGAATCCTTCCCAGGCCAAGGAGCGTGACCCTGGGAAGGGCGAGTTAGGGCTTGAGGAGAGCTAGCCCGGTTCCGGGTGGAAACCTGAAGGCGACCTACGGGACTGGAGCCAGGGCCCAAGGCCAGGTCAGGTCACTGGGCAGGCAGGGTGTGTGTGGGGTTGGGGCCTGAGGAGCAGGGGCGGGGCTCAGGCACTGACCCTTGCCGTGGCGCCAGCAGCAGAGGGCCACCCCAGTGATGACCATAAGGAGAGTCGTGGTGGCAGCGGCCACTCCGGCCACTATCCGCACAGTGGGTAGCAAATCTGCAGGGAGTAGAGGGGACATCCTGAGAAGGCTGAGGGGGAACCAGGAAGCGGGGGCTCAGGGACTGAGTTTGGGATCCCTGGGTTCAAAAGGTCTCACATTTGGAGAGTCAAAGACCCTTGAATTTTGCAAGTATGTGAGTTTAAATTCCCTGGCTTTAGGGAGTCCTAGAGTTTGAGGGGTCCTTTACTTTGCAATTTGCTTTGCAATCGTTGGAGGGTCCTTTTTGGGGCCCCTCAGTGTGAGGGGTCTCTCAGTTAAGGATTCAGAATGTGAAGGCATTTGTAGTTGGGGGGTCCTGGGACTCCATGAGTCCACAGTTTTGAGACTCCCAAGGTTTGGAGGTCTCTGCATTTGAGGGTCTGAGGTTGGCAGCCCTCGGTTGGGGGATCCCTGCGTTTGTGGGGTTTAGACTCTCCAGATTTGAGGTCTTCAGGCTGGGGTCTCACCTCTACGGCCCAGGCTGGCCCTGGCACCTCCCTCGCCCAGTCGGTTCCGGGCACTGCAGTTAAAGCTCCTGCTAAAGTCAGACTCCTGGGTCCCCGAAATGTGTAGCACCGAGATCAGGCCCGGACCCTGTCCCTCATGGCCCTCCGGGGCAGGGAACGTCTCCACCAGGAACCGGCCCCGGGACCCTGCCTCCAGGAAACCCTCATCCCAAGACCAGACCTGGGGGCACAAAAGAGGGAGGACACCGAGGAGACAGGAGTGGGGGAAGAAGCGGGAGTGATGTCTGGGAGGTCAGAGATGGTCACAGCAGTTTAGGAGGGCCAGGTGGGAAATCAGGGATCACAGCTGGATGGGTCATGAGTGGAGTGACATTTCCTTACCACGGCGTCTGGGGCGGGAGAGGCAAAAACCAGACACTGGAGGCGGGCGGGGCCCCTCAGGAAGGCAGGCGCAGAGTGTAGGGCCGTCACTACTGGGGGAGCTGGGATGGAGACAGTGGGTCACTCAGGACAGGTCTTGCCCCAAAGACTGTAACAAAGCCGGGCCGGGCCAAGGCACTCTCATCCAATCAGGCCACGCCGTTTCCAAACTCAGATTCTCCTAAAAGCCTCGCCTTCGATAGGTCCAATCTTCATGCCCCGCTGGGTGTAAAGCTCTTTCCAGGCCACTCCCACTGCATTAGGCCTGGTCCCCCCCGTCCACTCCCAATCCAAGGGCCCTCTAGGTGCCCTAGGAAGCCCCGCCTTCTCACCGTTCACGGTCAGGCGAGCCTCCGCGGCGCCGCCCCCCCGGCCCGAGAGCCCAGGCTCAGCCCTGCACACATAGTCGCCTGCGTCCTCGGGCCCCACCGACGGAAGGCGCAGCGTGGGTCCAGAGCCCAGCACCTGCGACAGGGAAGGGGCGTCAGAAGTCGGATTTGCAAGCAAACCCGGTTCCCCGCCAGCTACCGCCTCAGATTTAGGGTTGCACCTGCGCGCCACCGCGGCGGATCCAGGTTACGCGTGGAAGCGGGTTCCCGCGCCAGGCACAGATGAAGGAGGCGTCTTCTCCCACGTCCACGGACACAGGCTCCGGCTTTGCCTGTAGAATCGGCCCAACTGGACGAGGGAGACGAGGGGTCACATGGCCAGGGCGGAATGCAGCCCCTGATCCTGGATCAGCCCCACAGAAACATGACACCCTCTAGGGCGCGAGAATAAGCCCCAAGTTCACACGCTCCTTCTCCTAATAATCCACGCCCACTCTCCAGGCCCCGCCCCTCCAGGTGCCGCCCCAACAGCCCTGAAAGTCACGCCCACATTTGACCACACCCACAGCCCTGCCCCAACTCACACAGCACATCCAGCGCAGTGGTGCGGTTAGCGCTACCCACGGCGTTGCTGACCTCGCAGGAAACGGGCTCAGTTAGGAACGAGGCATCTGCCACGACCTCCAACCTTGGCCCGCGGGCCCCGAGCACCGGGGAGCCCCCTTTTGCCCATCTGAGGAAGTGGTGGCGCAGTTAGTGTCCTCGCTCTCTGGCACACCTACTCTGGTCCCAGCCCTTCCCAAGCTCATCTTGGGGCTGGAGAGAGGTGGTCTTCGTCCTCACCTGTAGCCTGTGACAGGAGGTTGGGCTGTGGCGTGGCACAGGAAAGTGACCTTCTCTCCCTCCTGTACAGTGTGTGGCGCAGCAGACAGAGTCACCTCTGGGGGGTCTGTGAGGGTGGGATGATGGTCAGGACTAGGAACACCTCTGTCACTGGCCTAGGGGTCCAGTCCCTAGTTCCTCCACCCCAGGAATCTGGGCCCCTAGTCCCCTTCTCCCTTTGAGCCAGGAGTCTAGGCTTTCAGTTCCAAGTTCCTCCAGGCATCCCAATGTGCCAGCCTTCTGTCCTCTCCTACTCTCCCAGAGGTGGGAGTCCAGGCCCAGCTTCCTCTTTCTCCAGGGACCCCAGCCATCTGTCCTCTCCTGCTCAGAGTCTCACTCTGTCGCCAAGGCTGAAGTGCAGTGGCACTATCTCGGCTCACTGCAACCTCTGCTTCCCAGGTACAAGTGATTCTCCTGCCTCAGCCTCCCACATAGCTGGGATTACAGGCATGTGCCATCTCGCTCAGCTAGTTTTTGTGTTTTTAGTAGAGACGGGATTTCAACATGTTAGCCAGACTGGTCTCAAACTCCCAACCTCAGGTGATCCGCCCACTGTGGCCTTTCAAAGTGCTTGGGAATCCAGGCATGAGCCACTATACTCTGCCCTCTCCTGCTCTTTTAGATCCAGGAGTCCAGCCCCAGTGTCCTGGTTCCCCAGGGGCCACAGTCCCCTCCTTCCTCATACCCAGTAGTCAGGGCCCCACACCCCTCTTTGTAGGGCCGGCTGCACTCACACTGCAGGCTCAGTGTGATAGCTGTGTCCCTTCCCGCGGGCAGGGCCTGGCTCCGGGCACGGCAGACCAAGGTGGCTCCATCATCATGGCTGGAAGGAGTCAGGGTTAAGGTACTCTCCACTGACTCAGGGGTCCCTTCCTTCAGCAGGGTCTGGAGGGATGGATAACAATAATAATACCATCTGCCCCTTATATCAGTGGTGTCCAATCTCTTGGCTTCCCTGAACCACATTGGAAGAAGAATTGTCTTGGGTCACACATACTAACACTAATGATAGCTGATGAGCTAAAAAATTACAAAAAAGTCTCATAATATTTTAAGAAAGCTTACCATTTGTGTTGGGCCACATGTGGGAGTCCAGACCCATGGGCCACAGGTTGGACAAACTTGCCTTACTTACATAGTGCTCACTATGTGTTGGGCACTCTTCTGGGCATTTATGGGTATTTATTTAATTCTCACAGTGCCCTATGACATACATGCTATTATTATCCCGATTGTATAGATAAGGCAACTGAGGCACAGAGAGGTTAACTAACTTAATAGATCAATCAACTAGCAAGTGGCTGAGCCATGATCTGAACCTAGGTAGTCTGGCCCTAGAATCTTTCCCCTGCGTCATATTCCAAAAGTCCAAACCCTTGAACCCCTGCCCTCCCATGTCTTCTCCTCTGGATGAGCCTGTGGTCAGAGTGGACCCCAAGTTTCCCTGAATGGGCAAAGGCTAGGACAGGAATTTGGACCTGACCTGATGGAAGGTGATTCCATCCAACCGGACCCCATCTCGGAACCACAGCAATTCAGGGATAGGGCGGGCATCCCCACGGCTCCGACATGTCAGGTTCGCAGGAATTCCAGCAACCAGAGACACAGAGGGGCCGCCCAGCACCTGGGGGGCTTCTGGAGGAACTGCAAGGTGGATTTAGGGTCAGAGATGGATCCTGATCTTCTCAGCTCCAACTGACCACTCCCATGGGCTCCCTGGGCTCTGACACTCTCAGCTAGTACTGGCTGCTCCCTTGGGCTCCCAGGGGACAAGTGAGCGAGGTCCTCACCCAGAACGTGCAGTTGGGCTGGTCTTGAGCGTAGGCCTGCTTGTGTAGCCTGGCATTCATATGATGCTTCATCCTCTAGCTCCACAGGCCTAATATGGAGGTCATGCTGTCCTTTGGCTGCGTTCCCTGATATCCAGTACCGGGACCACCCTGGAGTCAGGGAGGATGCAGTCAGCATGCCATGGTTCTGAGATCCTGGCCTCAGGCCTCCAACTTTTAGACATCCCCCACTGGAAAACTGGCCACAGCCTTGGTGGTAAGACACTATTAGAAACTGTGTACTGGGCCCAGAGAATCTCTAACTTTCTCCTAACCTAGAGTCACTGCAAACTTGGGGGTAATAAAGTCAGAAAGGAAAGCAAGAAAATGATTGCCATAAAAGTTAGGTTAGATACTACTGGAGTGAGGGGGAGGCGTGCTATGACAGGGGAAAGGAATATTTCTGGGGAGCTTCTGGGGAGCTAGCAATGGACTTGCGTATTAGCTGTGTAAGTGTCTTTTATTTGTTTACTGTACTTTTTTGCATTTATGTTTTCTTTCTTTTTTTCTTTCTTTCTTTCTCTCTCTCTCTCCTTATTCCTTTCTCTCTCTCTTTCTTTCCACAGGTCTCCCCATTGCCTGGAGTGCAGTGGCTTCAGCATGGCCACAGTGCTGAGCCATTTGATGAGCAATGGTGAGACCCTGCAGTGCCTTGAACTCTTGGGCTCAAGCAAGCCTCCCACCTCAGCCTCCTGACTAGGACTACAGATGCACACCACCGCGCCTGGCTAATTTGTTTAAAAAAAATATCTATCTATCTATATATACAGTAGAGATAGGTCTTGCTATGTTGCCCAGACTGGTCTCAAACTCCTGACTTCAAGTGACCCTCTGGCCTCAGCCTCCCAAAGTCCTGGGATTACAGGTGTGAGCCACCACACCTGGCCTATGTACTATTTCACAATAACATAATTCTCAAACTCTATGGGTCGCCCCCAAAGAAACAGCTCAAAAATCAGGAGTTCTAAATGTTTACCCAAGCCCATCAATTTCCCAAACTTGAAAATGTCAAAATAGAAACTTCAGATACAGCGGAACCTAGGACCTTACCTGGCAGGTCCCGTTGGCCCCCTAGGGCCAGCCCACTCTTAGTCCACTGAACCAGCCCCCAGTAGGCGCCCAGAGCACACTGCAGCCGGGCTTCCTCCCCTAGCAGCACCACCAGGTCCTCCGGCTGTTGCAGGAAATGGGGCGACGGGCCTAGGAGAATGAGGGGGCAGCAGGGCTGAGCCTAGCACCTTCTAGAGACCCCTCATTCAGGATCCAGGAGTCCCAGCCCCAGCCCCCTTCTCCCTACTGAAGCGGCAGTCCGCAAGCAACCCCCCCCCACCCCATATTCCTCCGCTCCCCTCGCCAGGTACCTGCGCGCCCTCTGAAGCAGACGAGGAGGATGAGGAGGGCGGGGACCCGCATCCTGAGCGTGTGTCTCCCAAGGTTCACGAGATTTGCCGTCTTACGGGCCTCCCCGCCAACTTCTTTTTCGGAAGCACGCCTCCTGTCACTCTGGACTGGAGACCCCTTCGCGCTCGACTCTTCGCCCCAGCCTAGAGAACCCCTGTCTCTGGCCTGGAGTCCTCCAAGGCTGCTCATCTGCCGCCTCTGACGCTCTGAAACGCCTGCCAGTTCAGTGCCCTGGATCTTTGGGAGACCCCAAGAGGGCCAGATCCCGCTCGCCCCGCCCCGATCCGCCCCCCGGAGCTCCGCCCTCTTCCCATTGAGAAACTCCCGCGGCCTGGACGGGATGAATGGAAGACGCAGGGCGGGGTCCCCGGCGGGAGGGCGCCCCCAGCTCAGTTGGGGTCTGGGAGCCGGAACACCTGGATTCGAGGAGGGGTCCTGGCTGGGTTGGACACCTGCGCCCTGCCGGGGTTGGGGGGCAGGCATGGGGGTGAGGAGGACGGAAGGGAGAGAGTGGAAGAAACTTGCTCAGCCCAGGTCCTGGAGGGACTGCGCTCAGTGGAAACTGAGCTATAAATGGGAGCCCCTGGGGCCTCGCCAGTATCCGCGTCCTGGGGGAGGCGGGGTCCGGGGCCTGCGGGTCGGGAAGAGGGCAAGCCAGTGCCTGGGGGACAGCTGGGACCCCCGTCTCGACTCCCCCAGCCTCAAAATCCCTCCTCAAAATCTCTCTCTGTTCCCTTGTAACTGCTGCAAACTGCAGCGTGTCCTAAGACCCAGGAATCGAGGCTCCCGGCCCCTCCTTTCCCAGGACCCCGCAGTCTCGACCCAGCCCCTCTCCCCACTCGGCCTGCCGGGCCCCTCAGCCTGGTTGCCTGGCGACGGCTGGGAAGCGGCGGTGCCGGGCCGGGGCAGGCAGGGAGGCTGGGAACCGCGCAGCTTGTCCTGACGGCTCCATACAGCCCAGCTGGGGCGTTCCCACGCTGCGCAGCTGGCTGAGCAGGTGGGAGGGACCCCGAGCAGCCTGAAGGAGGGCTGGGGGGCTGGGACCCTACTCTGACATTCCTGGACCTGTAGGAACTGGGGGGTCCACATTCAGATTCTCGGCTGTTCTTGGGCTAAAACTCTTGCGTCCCTAAATGGCGGGGTGGGGTTGGGGGTGGGGTTGGACTTACGGAATTGTAAGGGACTGTGGTTTAGGCCTTTGCTGGCTGAGACACTGGTGGCCTGATTTCCTGGTTCCTTGAGAGGCTGGAGACTCAATTCCTAGGTCTCCTGCCTGCAGCAAGGTGCACTTGGAAGAGGGTGACAGGGGTCAGAATATCTGGTCTTAAGTCTTAGAATCAGTGGATTTAACCACCAATCTCTCCCCACCCCCACACAGGCCCAGGAGGATTTGGAAATCAGATGGTGAACATCTGTCCTAAGTCCTGTGTGTGTGTGTGTGTGTGTGTGTGTGTGTGTGTAGGAGGAGGTGTGGGGGCTGGTAGGGTGGGCAGAAGGATCAGAGGCCCAAATTCCTGAGTCCTTGGAGAGAAGGGACTGAGACCCCAGGGTCTGAGACGGGTGGGATCTGGAGGCCTACACTCCTGGCTTCTATGTGGCATATCTAGTGCCTGGATTTTGAAATAGGATAAACATGGGGCCAGAACTCCTGAGTCCTGGGGAGGAACCCAAGGAATGGGGCTGTTTTGCCAGACACTTGACACCACTTCCCCTTCCTGGCTCTCTAGGGCTCCGGGCATGGAAAAACGGAGAACCCAAGGTCTCAGGAGCATGCGGAGAAGGAAAACAGCCAAGGTGGAGGGTGGAAGGTTTGTGCTAATTAAAGTTTCCAGCAAGGGACAGCTCCACACTCTGGCCCCTAGGGACACCATCTGGCGAGGGCCCCCAGGACAGAGCCGCCCCCGCAGCTTAGCTGGGCATCCAGCTCATTTCCCAGGGGGTGTGAGGGGCAGTTGGGAGAGGGGAGGTGGAAGGAGGGCAAGGCATCGAGCATGTGAGGGAAGAGGGAAGGGCAGCATCAAGGATGAAGCTGGGGGCTCAAGCCAGATGCTTCATCTTGTTCCTGGGGAATGAGATGGGGCAGGGGATCTCAGGGAGGCGGGGAGAAAACTAGCATTTCCAATTCCTGCAGGAGATAAGCAGGCAGAAGAAGCTTATCCGAGGTGAGTGTATGTGCATGCAGGGAGGGCAAGCCCGCCAGCATATGGTTATACAATTCAGGGATGTGATGAGCAGAGCCACTTGGAGACAGAGAGACATGTAAGAGAAAGAGGAGGGTCAGTGTGGCTGAGAACAAATATTTATGGAGATCCTGGTGTGTGTGAGACAGAGTTGGGGGTGAGGGGAGTGACAGAGGTGAGAACAGACAGAGAAACAGAAGAACAGAGACATGTAGAGACAGAGAGACACAGTAAAATAAAGAATGACTGAGATTTAACCACTTAATACAGAGAGTTTCAAACAGATGGAGAAAAATAGAAAGATAAATTGGTAGGGCCTGATGGCTCACGCCTGTAGTCTTAGCACTTTGGGAGGCCCAGGCAGGCAGATCATCTGCAGTCAGGAGTTCAAGACCAGCCTGACCAACATGGTGAAACCCTGTCTCTACTAAAAACACAAAAAAATTAGCCAGGTATAGTGGTGAATGCCTGTAATCCTAGCTACTCAAGAGGCTGAGGCAGTAGAATTGCTTGAACCCAGGAGGCGGAGGTTGCAGTGAGCTGAGATTGCACCATTGCACTCCAGCCTGGGCAACAAGAGCAAAACTCCACCTCAAAAAAAAAAAAAAAAAAAAAAAAAAAGAAAGACAAGCCAAGGGCTGGGTGCAGTGGCTTATGTCTGTAATCCCAGTACTTTGAAAGGCAGAGATGGGAGGATTGCTTGAGCCCAGGAGTTCCAGACAACCCTGGGCAACACAGCAAGACCCTGTCTTTACAAAAACATTTAAAAAATTAGCCAGAGTGGTGACTGGGACATATAGTCCCAGATACTCAGGAGGCTAAAGAGGAAAGAACATTTGAGCCCAGGAGGTCGAGGCTGCAGTGAGCCATGATCACACCACTGCACTCCAGCCTGGGCAATAGAGCAAGACCCTATCTCTACAAAATAATTTTTTTTTAATTAGCCAAAGTGGTGGTGCACACCTGAAGTCCCAGCTACTCAGGAAGCTGAGGCAAGAGGATCACTTGAGCCCATTAAGTTGAGGCTGCAACGAGCCATGATCGTGCCACTGCCCTCCAGCATGGGCAACAGACCAAGATCTCATCTCAAAAGAAAGAAAGGCCAGGTGCGGTGGCTTACACCTGTAATTCCAGCACTTTGGGAGGCCGAGGCAGGTGGATCACAAGGTCAGGAGTTCAAGACCAGACTGGCCAACATGGTGAAACCCTGTCTCTACAAAAAAAAAAAAAAAAAAAAAAAAAGAAAGATAAATCAAGATGGATGGAGGGAGGGAGATATATATATATGTGTGTATATATGTGTGTGTGTATATATATAAAGAAGAAAAGAAGAGATGGGGGAGAGGGCAAGAAAAAGAGACAGAAGAAAGCTCACACAGTCCTTGCCAAAGGGCACCCACTCTGGGCTCACACTGCACCCACACTGCGGGCTGGCAGACTTGGATTCTGCCTCTTACTCCTGCCCATACCCCGTGCACTCCCACTTGAGACACTGTCACACACACACACACACAATCTCCACGTGTTTATTACAGATCACGATTCACTCTCACCTTCCCCACTCACACACCCCTGCGCACACACGTTTACTTTCCCTCTCCCACACTCTCCCAGCCACTCACACTCACGCTTGCATACTCCCCAGCAGAGATCCCTGACGTCATTGAAGTGCTGATGTCTACTCAAGAAAGGAAGGGAGGCCGGGTGCGGTGGCTCAGGCCTGTAATCCCAGCACTTTGGGAGGCTGAGGTGGGCAGATCACCTGAGGTCAGGAGTTCCAGACCAGCCTAGACAATGTGGTGAAATACCATCTCAACTAAAAATACCAAAATTAGCTGGGCATGGTGGCGTGTGCCTGTAATCCCAGCTATTCAGGAGGCTGAGGCAGGAGAATTGCTTGAACCTGGGAGGTTCAAGCCAGGGGAGGTGGAGGTTGCAGTGAGCCAAGATCATACCACTGAACTCCAGCCTGAGCAACAGAGCAAGACTATCTCAAGAAAAAAAAAAAAATAGGAAGAAAGGGACTTGCCAAGGTCATGTATCAAGGCAGGGAAGAGCTGGGAGCCCAGCTGGCTGCTCCCCTGCTGAGCTGCGAGACCACCCAAGTCTGACCTCTCCCGTTTTCCCAGCCTAAGCCAGGACTTGGGGTCATGGAGGCTGGGGAGGCACTGAGGAATGCGCCTGGCATGTGCTGACAGGGGATTTCCCGCTCCAGCCCAGATGGGAGGAGCCTGCTGGACAGAGGCTGGAGCTGGGAGCTCTGGAGGGCACGTGGGGGAGGCTGCACTCTGAGGATGAGCTCACACTGGGTCAGAGAGCAGGGCCGACTCTGCCAGTGCCTGCATCAGCCTCATCGCTCTCCTGGGCTCCCGAGGCCTGTTGGTCCTTCTTGAGGGGACGTGAGTAGTGAGACAAGAAGCAGGGGTGAGGGGTGGCAGGAGAGAAGATAGAGACTCAGAGAGAGACAGAGACAGAAA